GTCGTAGTTTTTCATTTCTGGTTCTCTCTGATTTAGGAATATAATTATGTCGATAAGATTTATTCTTTAATTTTATTTTCTTTATTTCCATAATTAGTTTTTTACGCTTTATTTATTATCTACGTTTGGATCAATTTCGGAATATAAATATAATTTATTTACTCTTCAATAAATAAATATATATATATATATATTAATCGTGAGAGTAACCGCTCTTTTATAAATGTGTTTTAAAAGTCCAAATCTAAGGGAAACCCATGCCGAGAAAGTAAAAAAAAAAAAAATAGTATTTCATAGGTGTAGAAGAAGTCTAAAAGGAAAAGTGTAACTCACGGAAAGTCTAAATAAGACAACATCTGTTAGCGGTAGGCTTAAACGGTTAAACATTCCAGCATCCTAATGGTCAAAAGTATACATATACGTAATAACTTTATGTTATTTTCTTTTATTTTCAAAATAATTTTTAAAAATTATGATTTAAATGGCTTGTAATAGACTGCGTGGAGAAGAAGAGCGACAATAACGTAACACACACCCAAAGAATTTGAGAGACCCCATAACTTACTGATATCCATTTTATGGACTTACGTTTGCTCACTTAGACCGTACGATCTATGAACACGAGCTCTATAGATTTGTTAATTCTCCCATAAACAATATTTTTATTAATTCAAAAATAGTTTATTATTTTAAATATAATAATTTAATAAATTATTATTTTAAACAAATAATATAAATACTATTTAGAAAAATATTAGTACAATAAATAGCATAAATATAAATATATATATGAAAATTAATACATTAAATAACATAAATATAAATTATGAGAGATTGAAATCAAAAGATGAAATTAACTTCAAATTGGATGAACAAACAATAGCTAACATTACTATCATCATCATCCTTATTATTTAACATTTTTTTTAAAATATAAAATTTAATTTGCTTATATTATTATTAATAATAAAATATACCGAATTTCAGGATAATGACGCGAAGGAGAGAAGTTCCGAATCAGTTTCAAAATCCTTCATGTCAGTTTCCGTCAAATTCACCCACGCTTCGATTCCTTCGCCGTCGCTGGTGTTTACGAACAGCACCACGTTCTTGTACGGCCGCCCTGGGCTGCAGACCCAAGCCGGTTTTCCCCAGCCGAAATCCGATTCGTACAGCGGAAAACTGCACCAACTCGTGAAGCTATAGAGCTCCAACTCGCCGGAATAAACCATTTGGCCCATTTTCATCTTCGCCTTCATCGATTTCTCCGCGTCTTGTAATGTCTTGATATAATCGCCGTCGATTTCTTTTATTGCTTCTCTGATTTTGGCTACTAAGGATGGGAAGTCTTGTTCCTCGTCGATTGGAGCGTCGGCGGTGGCGAACCACCAGAGGTTGCCGAAGGAGTTCGGCGGAAGTGGTGGGTCCATTCGGTTGCGGAGGTTCACGGCTTGGATTACGGCGAAACGCTTAGCTTTGGTAGGGGGTTTTTGTTGGGCTATGGCCATGAAACGCTTCCAGAGGAAGCCGGAGACGGTTTCTACTCGTGACGGAGGGCGTTGGTTGAGGAATGCTTCCGAGTTGGCTTGGTTTTTCAGAGCGGCGATGTTGGATTTGTTGAAGATGAATCTTCTTGTTACGATTTTGTCCATTCGTGATTGCCGTCTGTTTCCGCCGCGGATTTCCATCGGCGGGAATAGCTCCGTCGCGTTGAATGTCGGCACCACCGGATACTCTGTTTCGAAGTAAGAACAGAGTGAAAATGTTGAGCGAAAATTCCGATTATAATAACTGAAATGGATTTAATAAATACTCACTGTCGTCTCCACGGCAGGCGGCGGCCCAGGCTTTGGTGAACATGGTGGCGGAGGTTCCGTCGACGATCTTATGAGTAACACAGAGAGCAACCACAACGCCGCCGCACTCAAACACATTATACCGTACAGCCAAAATGCACTCCCTCTCAAGAACCGCATCATGATCAAACGGAAGCAGACGGAGCAACGAAACGACGTCGTGAGGCTTCTCCATGACCTCCGACATTCGGGCGGAGACTCTGGTTTCAGAAAACTCCACGCCGTCATCGTTACAGTCCACCAAATAAGCCTCCACCAGAGTTCCGGCAAGAAGATAGAACCGGTTCAAGGTTTCAGCAAGAGACTCCTTCAATTTCCGGCACCGCTCACGGTGGTCATCGCCGCCGTGAAGCTGGTCGGCGGTGTAGAAGAAGAGGAGAGGCGTGTAGCTGCTGGGGGCAACTTGGTCGAGAAATGAAAGCTTGAGCTCTCGGTGCTCTGACGGCGTTGGAGACGACGGCTTGATGGACTCAGTGGAGATTATTTCGACATTCAAATTGTTCATCTCCATTGCTGTCGGATGCTCGGTTTTTTTTTGTTCTTGTTAATTTGGTATGTCTAATGGGTATGGATTTATGAATTTATATATGAAATATATCGAATTATTATTCTAATATCGTGAATTGACCGTTTAATTTGATTTTTAATAGAACTAAAAATAATAATTAATTGATTGATTAATTAATTTATAAGATAGCTGAAAATTAAAGGTGCTTACTAGGTCTCGTTATAACATATAGTTTGAATTAAAAGTCCTTTTTTTTCGATTTCTTGCTATACTTTATACGAAATAATTATGGATTTTATTTATTAATTTATTTTGGCTTCAATATTAGGATGCTTAATTCTCACATTTTCTAAAAAATATAAATGATATTATTTAAGAAAATAAATAAATTAAAATTAAAAGTAAATACAAATAATCAGCTTTACACACATAAGTTATTCTTTTAATCGCTTGATACACGTCACGATCAACAATTTCATCTTTAGTAAGTCATTTTTCTTGATTTTGCCAAGATAATTTTAACGGGTCTCTAAATCTTTAAAAACGTATTATTTTATTATTTTATTATTTTATGAATTTTTATGTTATTTAAAAAAAAAAAAAGATTTTTACTAGTGGTCAAATTTTAATATAAAAGTATCTTTTTAAGGTTTTGAGTTCTAATTTGACCGGTCAAATATATAATTAATTTATTATAATTGAGGTATAATTGTTTAATGTAATTTTAATTAATAAGAATTTTGGAGATTATTCATTTAAACCATTTGTTTAATGGTTGAATTAAGAACACAACTAGTTTGATTTAATAAGCAACTTGGAAAATAATTATCATTATATTATATGTGGTTTGAAAAAAATATTTGACCAAATTTAAAAATTCATCAATCAACCTTCGATCATTTATTCAAAATTTTGTTTTTAATAAAATTAAAATGAAAAAATATATATATTTTAAAATGAAAATTTGCTAACTTAATTTTAATATATATTATGAAAATAAATTTATATGTGGTACGACATATATATAATGGTATCGAAACTATAATTTTTTTTAATTTAATTATAAATTTGGTATTGTTGGATTCAATTTTAAATCAAGTTGATAACTCAGTTTAAACGAATTATAAGTCAGAAGAATTGATATTTAAAAAATCAGTTGTGAAATTTATTGATCAATCTAATATAATATCAATTATGATCAAGTCAAAAGGAGTGGCGTGGTCTTGTGGTGGGCCCCACATTGAGGTTTGAAAAGCGACACCGTTTTAAGCCGGCTAGATAATTTTTATTATTAATCAATTAAAGGGGTAATTGAGAATTAAATCCCATTCTATATTTTTAAATATTTTATAGCTGCCTTAAAATTTTAAAATATCTATTTTAATATTTAAAATTTAAAAATAAATATTTTATGGTTTATTTTCGACGAAACCTCACTTGTTTTCTTTGCTGCATAAGGACATAAGGTAAGCAAACCATCTTCATTCACATATGTGTGGTCGAGTCATTAAGATACTTTGGTTCTCAATGAAACCCGTGACCGTACTTCTTGTTTGAAGGGACATTGATTCAGAGCTCAAGTATAGTTTGTGCACTAACATGCTGTGTTACGTATATGCCTTCATTACCAACCTTTTCAAATCTTAACTTATCGGATTAGATATTTGAGAAACTTTTCCTTGCAGTGGACAAGAACTCTAGTTCCTGAGAAAATATGAGCCCTCTTTATATGGGGGCCATTAGTCGATGCCTTCAATTTTGGCATGACTTCGAGGCCAGACATTGAAAAGCCTTAACTTTTACATACTCATCTTCATTTATCGTTAAAATCCAATCAATCAATGTTCTTACGTTAACGACATCATACTCGTATTACCATAATCTTGTAAATAAGATATGTTTGTTGGAACAAATATCTTTCGATGTCAATAAAGATCTCGAGAGGTTGAACAGAAAGGTTGAGGTTGGTTTTGAATTTTGGAGGAAAAAAAAAAAAAAAAAGAAGCTTTTAACTTCAAGCCTAACATGTCCAAAACATTTGAGGGACAGAATTCTGGAGTTCTTTGGTCGGGCCACCATCCTCGGAGCACAAGTTTGTTCATGTGGCGTTGTCGGCTGCAGTTTCTGACCACCTCCGACAGGCCAACGGCGGGAGAAGATGATCGGAAGGGCTTAGCAATTGGCTACACCTGATGGCTTAGGCCACCCGCCGCCATAGTCAAAACAGTGTCCTTGGAGGTTCTACAAACTACAGGTCATTAATAAATTCTTCTAATACTTAATTGAGTGGATAAATTTATTAATTTTGATACTCATTAAAATTTGTTAATTACTTCTAATAATAAAATTTTAAGTGCAATTAGGGTATGTTTGGCGGAATTTAAAGTGATTACGTGGGAATTTTAATTTACACACTATTTGTTTGGATAAATAAATTATTAATAATATAATAATTACTTGGATTTAGTCTTAAAGTTTGTAACAATTTTGTCACGGATTTTTATAAATATAGTTCTTGGATTTTATAATTATTATTTAATGAATTTTTTTAAAAGTTGTTATAAAATTTAAAAAATATATAAACTAAATTGCTATATAGGTACTCAATTACCATATATATATATATATATATACATATATAAAACTGCGGGCGAAAGAACTTTGCCTCTGTACATACCTTTTGGATTGGGCGTTACAATAGGAAGGCGAAATGGATGCTTTGGCCGTATTCGGAACAGGTGCTCCGCTGCTTCTCCGGCCGCGGACGAGAACCTTCTGCAGCTTAACCTACTCTCGGACGACTGCACTGCGCCGCTGCGACCATCTTTCAGCATTCCCTTCGAATTCTCATCTCTTCTACAAATTTACTACACGTTCTCGTGCTGCTTCGGTTGCCAATGAATCCTTTATCTTTTTGCCTCATTTGGTTGCCTCCCTGGTGTGTTCAATTTTCTTTCTCTTTTTCGTATTGAACTGGCTTTCAATTATTGGCTTGTTTTGAGATTAATCGATTTTGTCTTTTGAGGTGCAGGAGCGAGTCGACCAGACTTACATTATGGTGAAACCTGACGGCGTTCAACGTGGTCTTGTGAGTTTCCTTTTACGACCTGATAATTTAGCCCTTAATTTGTGCTTTTTCCTTATTTTTCTCTGTGGTTACTGTCGAACTTCGCAATTCAGTGTACTTGAATGTTCATTGTTCATCTCCTGTGCTATTAAGGTCTTAATTATTGGATATGAGTTCAATTTCGTTGAATAATGTCTAATTAAACAGGAAAAATTTGAAGTAGAAATGAAGGAATCCACAATTTCCTCTGTAATTATAGTAGAGAACTGCTTGACGTGCATTCTGAAGTGTTCTTGCTTTAACTGAGTTTGTTTTAGGTTGGAGAGATAATTTCGCGATTTGAGAAGAAAGGATTTAAGCTTACTGGTTTGAAGCTCACGCAATGCTCAAAGGATTTGGCTGAGGTTTGTCCTTGAACGACGTTCATTCTCCATGATATTTCTGAAGTTCCTTGGAGAATTTGATTTTTGTTCTAATTATTCAAGCTCAAAAGATCGAAAGTATTTAGAATCTTGCTTTTTAAATTCTTTGAATGAACACTTCATAAGCTAATTGGTCGTTTGAGACTTTCATTAAGCATTCTCCGTTTGAGATCTTTCTCAACCATGTTTTTGTTCTCTCTCTATTAAACTGATCTTATATTATTACAGGAACACTATAAAGATCTTAAGGGGAAGTCCTTTTTTCCTGGTTTAATTGAGTACATAACATCAGGCCCTGTTGTGTGTATGGTATGTTTCTCATCTCTATTTCTGCTGTAATTTGAATTCGGCCCATTATAGAAACTAAATAACTATCCCACAACTTTGCGGTCGATGTTAATTGGGTTTATTTAGGCATGGGAGGGTGTTGGCGTTGTGGCCTCAGCACGTAAGTTAATCGGAGTTACGAATCCTCTTGAAGCCGAGCCAGGATCGATAAGAGGGGATCTTGCTATTCAAAAAGGAAGGTCAGACCTTATGAAATTTGATTCATGGTATAATTTTTAAAATGCAATCGTGCGAACAATAGAAAGAGCTTATTTGAACGTCTTGGCAGGAATGTGATTCATGGGAGTGATAGTCCTGAGAGTGGCAAGCGTGAAGTAGGTAAGAGACACTGCGCTTTTAAAATGGCTTAACTTGTGTACATTCTCGATAATATTGCTATAATCAGTGGATTTGCTATTTTTGTGGTAATTTGTTCTTATTTCTGAGAAAAGAAACTATATGAAACAAATCATTCGTCTTGCATTCATTGAATTGTTGCTGGTAGTCTTTTTTCTGAACATGGTGGACCTCGGATTTAGGAGCATAAGGGTTATTTCTGCTCATTATCAGTTTCTTTTAGAAGCAGGAAAAAAAAAAAAGGAAAAAAAAAAGAAAATAGATGGAGAACGTTGATGGAAACGATGATCATAGAAACATAGGGTTGATGGAATTGAGTCGGAATCATGATCATAGAAGCATAGGGTTAAGGTTGATGGAAACGAGTTAGAAGCATGATCATAGATGCATAAGGTTGATGGAAACGAGTTGGAATCATGATCACAGAAGCATAAGGTTGATGGAAATGGAATCATGATCATAGAAGCATAAGATTGATGGAAACGAGTCGGAATCGTGATCATAGAAGCATAAAATTGATGGAAATGAGTCGGAAACATGATCATAGAAGCATAAGATTGATGGAAACGAGTCGGAATCATGATGATTGAAGCATAAGGTCGATGGAAATGAGTCGGAATCAGAATGTGTAAAATGAAAAGTAGTAATCGGAGTTTCAGGATTAAATTCCACTTGAAACCGAAACAGTTTTTCATGTTTTAGGAAAATCTAATTGTCTTCACTAGTTTTGTAGCTTAGGGATGCTGCAGTGATTAAGTTTTGAGGTTCATCAGATGACTAACTCTACACCATTAGTTTATTAGCAGTTTCTTTAAATGGACTAAGAATTCTTGAGAGTTCATTTGATTTTGCATTATTTTCATGTTGTTGTCTTCGACTTTCTGTGTATGCAGCCCTCTGGTTCAAAGAAGGTGAATTGGTGGACTGGGAGCCAGCTCTTGCATCATGGCTGATAGAGTGATGTTGTCTATGAAGCCTTCTCGTCCTCGGTGAGAATTGTTGATTATTATTCTTGTCTGTAATCTTGAATTATAGATTAAGATTCCAGTATAGAGTCCTGTAATAATCTTCCTCACAGACCCGTTTATGCAAAAAGGAGGAAATCCATTTTGAATATCAAGACTCTACAGAAATTTTCATAATGAACTCTATATTCATTTAGAAACATCAGTCGTCTCATAATTTAGCTCTATATTCAGATATACTCATTGAAAGAGGCAACCGACTCCGGAATGGCTAATGTTTGATCATGCCACCAAGTTAGTTATAGAACTCGATTCCGATGATATAGTCAAAGAACCAATGGATTCTTGCTCTGAATGTAGCTTGGTATTATCACTAGACTGAGATGCATTAGAACTTGGTGACGTAACCATACAACAAATATCCTCAGTCGTCGTCGTCATCTCCTCCTCCACGATTGTTGAAATTCCTTGAGAATTCTTGTGATTTGAGAATAAGTACTTAATAGAGTTCTTCATCTTACGCTGCTGCGTTGAATGTTCTGTTGATTGACAATCCCTGGAAGCTTCATGTGTAGAAGTAGTACTTGTCGAATAATCCGAGCCTATAGTTTTCAAATCTTTTTTAGTTGGGTTGGCTAACTCATGAGAACCCTTTGAAAAACATGCTGGACTGTTGCATGCTTCTGTTTTCATTGCCTTGGTGCGCGATGAACAAGAGAAAGAATTGGTTTCTCCATCTTCTAAGGCACCATCCTTGGCCTTGGGTGGGATTGAGTCGAGTTGAGAACCGAGTTTAAGCTTCCTTAGGGTAGTCTCTGCAAGAAGGAACTAAATGATATCTTCAAAAAATTCTATACGATTATGGTTGTTAATCTGAAATCCATAACTACAATATTATTTCATCCCCACATCAGATTTTGGACTGCAGTCTAATTTCGAGAGAGAGTGAAGAATATCATTCACTTCTAGGATAAATAAAAACTTACCGAAGTAAATTGGTTCCAAAAAAGCAGAAAAAGTTTACATGACTTAGAACTTAACCTCCTTACTTAACAATTTCAAACTGTTATCGAATAGTACAGAATCTACCATTGCTCACGCAAGGCCGACTTCCAAATTTTATTAAAGACACAATATGAAAAATGAGAGGAACATATTTCAAAAAAAATGTAAATTATCAAAAATATTCTTATAACTATGAGTTAGATTCAATTATATCTCCAAACTTGAAATTTGTTTCAAAACAACCTTCAGATTTTTACGGTTAAAATCATAGATAGCAGAGTTTATATCTGTTTATCAAATCTAAACAATAACATGAAAAATAAATAAAAATTATCTATGAGCCATAGGTATCATCATCTTCCTCATTTCAAATGCACCGTCCTAATTTTCTCATCTTTTATTTATGATTTATGATTTTTTTTTAACCTCAAATCTACATCCCATGTATGTTTAGATTTGTTCACTTACGTATTAACTTCTTTTGGAAGATGTATAGGCAATCTGGTTAGAGTTTGAGGAATCTAATAAGCTTGCATAGCCCATAATTGGAAAATCTAATGTATACCTCACATCTTGAAGATGATAAAGTTCCAAAAACATAAGTTCCTGATGTAGCTAAGTATGTAAATTTACAAATTGAATAAGTTGATGTTTAGTCAGAAAAGATTTCAAAATTTATTATAAACAAGTTGGATTTCAAATAATTTGTCCAAGATAAACCAAATGACACGTTAATGTAGACCCGAAAACAGACGCCGAACTAATAATCCATCCTGGAACTCTGACGCTATAACATAAATGAACGCTCCAGCGCAAATGAGCAATGAACCGGAAAATAGTAGCGAAACCATACATATTATCACATTTTAATTGAAGTATAAGTTCAAAAGAAAAAAGAAGAAAGAAAAGAATAAGGGAGACCCCGGCAGATTATAAATGTTAATCCATAATTAGATCAAAAAGAAAGATTAAGATAGAGAACGAACCGTAGATGGAGAGACGATCATCTTTAAGAACCTTGGAAGGCGGCCGCTCCAAGGAATCCACTGAGGAAGACGATCTGACTCTCCCGAACATAGTTTCAATCCGTAAACAACTGACCGCAGAGAGACGAACGCCTCAATGGCTTCCTTAGGAAGAAAAAAAGCAACACGGATTTCAGACTTCACTGGCGCGCTAATGATCAAGAAAGGGCGGGAAGCTTACTCCACACTCTTTATTTGGTTCATTTGGGCCTACTTGGGCTTATGTAATATGGGCCGTTTCTTTTTTGGGCTTTTTAACCACAGATATGTATATATAACAATGATTTTAAATTTTATAATATTAGCATTAGCTGGACAATTGTGGCTTAGGGATCAAGTTTTGATAAGGTTAAAATTCATTTTTGGTTTATGATTAATGAATTTTATATTGTAATGACGTAGGAAGTAATAATTTAGTTGAAATTTCGGTATATTAGGTAAATCAATAAACTAACTAGAGACCAATGTTACGTAAACAAAATCAGAATAAATTGTTATTCCTTTCTTTGATACGAAACATCACCCAATGAAAACGAATAAGGGAGAGGTGAACGAGCTTTGGCTGTGGGAGCTTATTGGCTTCTGATAGTTCAAAAATGACTAGTTCAAAGTTTGTTTGTTCAAGCAATGTGATCCGAATCGATCTTATGATAGGAATTCTGGCGGTAGCGGAATCTCATTTTCAAGCAGCTCGCTTTCCCTCATTCCACTTATCCAACCCTTGCCCAATTGAGTCATTCGTTCCGAGTAGGTTACAAATTCGGAAGCGACCAAAAGTGTTTCCTAACTTTTTAGGTGGCCACAAGTGTCTTTGGGTGTAGGAGATCAAAGCTCGATCGTAGAAAAAAGGGCACTTTTTAAAAAAATTATTTTCGAAGTTTTCATTTTGGTGCACATTATGATAATATCTTCAAGAAAGAAAAATGTCTGAAGAAAGTAATGGAGTCTTAATTATAGATGTATCAGTCTAATCTAGACAAGAGGCAAGATCATGATCATGAGTTGCCATGGAGCACTGAATTGAGAGCAACAGCTAACACAATTAAACTAAACTTGAAGTAAGCAGACAAAAGAACAGCTTCATATGATATATTGAATGTGTGTACCTCTCAATTTCATAAACATGGAGTTCAAGCAATTGTCCTACTAACACCAAACAGATGCTGCAGCTCGGAAAAGCCTATTATGGAGGAGCTCGTACCGGTTAAAGAATGACGACCACGACGATGAATTTGAATATTCATTTCCATAAGCGAATAAGAAACTGTCAGCATCTCTCACCAATTAGACGCATCCAGATTTGTTCATATCGCTCATTTCGTCAAGAATGAATCAGCTAGATCTCGAAAACAATCTCTTTAAGAATCCACGTTTACGCGTTGTATTCATCTTCCTACCTGAAAGAAATCAGAAAAGACTGGCGCAAATGAATAACAGACATAATGAAGTGAAGTGAAGTGAAGTGAAGTTCATTCAACAATCCTTCCAGAAAAAAAACAGATGAGTGAGTTTTGTTTTAGACTAAAGAGTTCAAAAGGGTCACCTTCTAGCCTACCAGAAAGCAACAATGCTTCTTCTGCAATGGGTCGCCATTGTTCAGCGCACGAGTAATTGATCCCGAGACCAACGCTCAACCCTCTAAGGATTTGGATCGTCCGAAGTATGGAAAAGAGTTCCTCGGGAAACGACTACAGTAGCGAAACGGGAAAAGAAGAACAGTCTTTCAGTTGATAGAAATATACAAATGCATATGCCTCTAAAGCCTGAACTATACCTTTACACCAACTTTCTTTATTGAAGAGTCCTCTGCAAATGGTTGCATCAACACCTTTCCGGGGGGTAGCCTAGTATCGAACATTACCAGAGCCAACTTAAACAGTTCTTCTTGTACATTTTCACAATCGCTTACGGTATCTATCCCAAGCTCCCTGAAGAACCATTAAGAAATAAAAGGAATTAGTATGAAGATGTTATAGAAGGAGCGAAAACCAGAATTAGCCAAACGACAAGCTGTTAGTGTGCCGTGGGTAGCTGTTTTGTAAGCCTGTGCCGTAGCAGGGGCTATATTAGTATGTTGTCTAAAATGTTGAGGTGAGATCTCACATTAGGAGAACGAAGAATTTTTTATAAGGGTGTGGAAACTTCTTCCTAGCTGACGCGTTTTAAAAACTTTGAGGGGAAGTCCGAAAATCAAAGTCCAAAGAAGACAACATCAGCTAGCGGAAGGCTTGGGCTTGGGCTTGGGCTTGGGCTTGGGCTGTTACAGTTAATTTTCATGCTTTGGTATTTTGGAATATAACAGGAGTTCTTAGGAGGCGAGGTTTCGAGGACGCTCGAAATAGCTAGTTGGGTTGTTCTTGATCGCGAGACGGGTTGTTCTTGTTATCTTTGTGATCGTTTGAGTCAATATTATCACGAGTAAGACATACTTCTTACACAACACAGGCCAAGCAGACTATAATTATTACCCGAAGGTTTCAGCTGTTCCTGTGGCATCACCATCAGCAATATCGAGAACAAGTTTAGCATAACCGAGCCTCAACCGGTCAGGAAGATCTTTCACTTGCCCGTAATCAAGCAACGCTACCTGATAAAACAGAGAAACAAACTACGGTTTCAGCTCGATTCATGATCGAAACAGGGAAATTGAAAGTCAAGACATTAAGCTAGCCGATCTTTACGTCACCAAGGTATCAACTCCTGAAATCCTGATCATCTTCCACATACCAAATTTATAGTAGTGCGAGAAAGATGCGAGCACGACATGCCACGAAAACGAAAAATTACTATGAGTTTAGAACATGTATAGAAAATTCGAGTAGCTGACTTGCCTCTGAGCCTTTACAGATCAATATATTTCCTGGATGAGGATCTGCATGGAAGAAACCACTCTTCAGAATCATTTGTCCATATGCCAGTGTCAAACTACTAAGAATTTTCCTGCAATATTAAAATTTTCCCACGTGTTTCAGTAATCTCAGGAGAGATAGAAAATATACTGCTCGATAACTGAAGTGCGTCCCTCAAGGCACGTCTATAAGCTTAATTTCAAAAACCAAAAACGAAACGGTTATCGAACGAGGCCAAAAATTATGTAAAACCTGGAAAATATTAATTTGAG